GAGATCGTGGACCCAAAAGGAGACAAGGGAGATCGTGGACCAAGAGGTCTGTCATCTCATTCCAACTGGAAGGAATGTTCTTGGAAGAATATCAATGATGGCAARGACAACGGWCTGATCAAGGTTAGTACTTTGTGAAAAATGTTTCTCGTATATTACCGAACGGACAAGCAGTAGAAATTATTTTGTGTTGAAAAATAGAGCGGGCAAAGTAGGTCCATGAAGCAAAAGTTGACGATTCTGTAGTATTTGCAAGATGCGAATAAAAACCGAATTAAAACTTTAGCGGATCTCTGGAATTKYGTGGTTGTGACATTAGCAATACTGAGTTSCTTCATGGATTTAATGCGTCCAAACTACAATTTTTAGTCGATTTATTACCACAAATATTCGACTSTCTTATATCAGTATTGGGCGTGACATTACCAATAGTTGTTTCACGGATTTAGTACGTCCAAACTACAATTTTTAGTCGTTCTTTACCATAAATATTCTCTCTTATATCAGTATTTGGCACTTTACAGGAGTGTATTTTCGAGAAGAAATACAGCGACACCATCCTTCATGTCTACTGGAATGGTAACTTTGGACTTCGCACTTGTCAGAAATGCTGTAAACGCTGGTTCTTTACTTTCAATGGTAAGGAATGTCAGACCCCTAACGCCATTGATGGTTTACACTACATGGATACCGGTGGACATGACAACGAAAGCCATCGTGTTCGCCGTATTGAAGGTCACTGCACGGACAGCATCAATAAGGGAATGGTGCGTGTTGGCTTCAATGTGGGAAACTGCGAAGGGTTTGGTGATGCTGACGCCRCTACGGGATGGAACGCCGTGAGCCGATTGTTCGTAGAGGAGGTACCCAGTCCCCAACCAGAAATAACGGCCAAGAAGCGATGATGGGAAGATTGTAATATAATTCCTTTGATTATCACAATGAAGTTGACTTGATAAGATAAACTAGTAGGTTTTGTAATAAACTATCAGTGGATTTAGAATAAGCTAATCATGCTGTAATAAGGTGTTGGATTGAATTAAACCGTGAATTCATGAGCACATCTGGTTTCGACTGAGAATGCATTGTTTGGAATAAAATATCACATTTTAAACGTGTTTAAGATCCRAATCGATCCAAAAAAGTTCTGCTTTCGAAGCAAAATATAACGAGAAATTGCAATTTCCCCCAACAACCTTTAGACTCATTTAAAAAAACAAGAAAGATTTCTTTCATATACTCTCCCATCGTACTTGGCGTCATTTATGCGGGTCATAGTTATATCATGATATGGGGGCATTCTCATAGTTATATCATGATATGGGGGCATTCTCATAGTTATATCATGATATGGGGGCATTCTCATACGAATTTCATTCTCAGTTTCCCAACGGATGACCGCAAAGGCTCTGGTTGGAGACTTTTGAGGCTTTGATTTGATTGGCTCAAAATTCCCATGTGTCTTCCCGTGTATTGTTGTGCGACCAGATTCTGGTTCTTTGAGTATCGTCTCCAACCAGAGCATTTGATCCAACCATTTGGAAAATGAGAAGGGTCTGAGTACGAGTTATGACGAGTATATTCTTTCCATGTCCAGTCGATTCGGCCAGAGTCATTCCGGCTTCACCAGTCCCTTTTAAAATTTGGGAACGGGCAACTCATTCATCGTGAGCTGCTGTTAGTCTAATTGCCACACAATCATCTTCTCGATAAATCTCGATATACAGTTGTTTTATCATCGAAGCTCTCGGTCTGTTTTGGACTACCTGTGGTGAAGTTTATTCAACTTAAAATGAATTACTTGTATCGCGCGCTTGCCCGCTTTGAAACTTATGCCATGTGCTGCTATGACCTTCTATGTAGGAATTTGTTCAAAGTTTTAAATAATCAATTTTAAATCAAAATGTAGTCAAAAGGATATGTAACTACAGAACTGGGCTGGAAAAAATGCATGTGAATATTTCCTTTCATTATTTTTTATATTTTTTGAGTGATTTTGTGAAAGACGAGAGGCACTTTGATCGATTCAGTAGCCTAATAAGACACATAACGCCTCAGGATTAAGGTGTTTCGATCGCAATAAATAGCGCTTCGCGCGTATTTTTAAACTCCAACTACGTCGCAAATTTCGATTCCATTGCACTCAAATTTTCACAGAAGTAACAGTGATTATCAATAATTCTTGTTGATAAATTAATTTGCCAAAAAGCGAAGCCATTTGGATAAACGATGCAAAATAAAAACACCTTCATTTTTCTTCAAAATTAATTTTCTCGAAACTCATCGCAGAGATTGTAATAAAATTTTCAGAATCATTTTTTAATAACATAATTGATATACTGACGAAGTTTCAATGAAATCTTAACCTAAAATTTCGAGTTGATTGAGCAAAATGATGTATATTCTAACAACTCGAACAATTCGAAAAATGAAGGTGTTTTTATTTTGCATCGTTTATCCAAATGGCTTCGCTTTTTGGCAAATTAATTTATCAACAAGAATTATCGATAATCACTGTTACTTCTGTGAAAGTTTGGTCGAGTGCAATTGAATCGAAATTTGCGACGTCGTTGGAGTTTAAAAATACGCGCGAAGCGCTATTTATTACGATCGAAACACCTTAATTTAAATTATACTCAAACAGGCAATAATTTCACGGTTATTCACTACAATGATTTTGTACTTCACTCTATACCAGCACGCATTACCATGGGCGCGGATTCGGCCATAGTTAGTGCGAATGTTCGGGTCTTTTTTATCATACAGATTTGCGTAACACTCAAAACGTAGAAAAATGCGGATTCAATCAACTTGTAGATTTCTGGTGATTTTATTTGGCGGATTCATGTATTCCAGCACCTCCCATTTGTACGTTTCCCTTTCGATAACTGAGAGCGAACTGTAGAATAATTTGTAATGCATACATAGCTATTTCAAAAAAGGTTGTCGAATTTAATGGCGACTGTCAATTGTCGAACAGCGATTGCACGACCGTAGTCATGGATATTCATGGGTTTTATTAATTGATGTCATAATAACAACTGATTTATACTGCAAGATAGTCTGTGAGGAACATTGGCTTTATTTAGTCTCCACTCTTTCTATGCAAAGTGAATCCAATAAGTGAAATTTTGTTTGTCAAAACAGTGTAACCATAGTCCCTTTCAACTTTCAGCCGTGCAATCTCCATTCTACAATCGCCGTTTGCCGTTCTCCCTGACAATGTTTTTTGAAATAGCTGTATACTTAAGTTAGTAGATACTATAGAGTCATAACACTTGCACCGTGAAATATGATCAAAATAAACAGTAAATATTAGTGTCTATTTATTGACTAATAGTAGATATTACTGAACCAGAACACAGTTCATGAAAACAAAAGGCAATACACAGGAGACTTGACAACTGCCATCTTTATTTCATGTACAATCAAGACAAAAGACACATCTAGATCTAAAATAACCACACAATACACTAGGGAGCGCGTTTAACGAATCTTTATTTATTTGCGCTGCTGCCGTAAAATCAAGACAAAAGACACATCTAAAGAATCTTTATTTATTTGCGCTGCTGCCGTAAAATCAAGACAAAAGACACATCTAAAGCTAAAATAACCACACAATACGCAAGGAAACGCGTTTAACGAATCTTTATTTATTTGCGCTGCTGTAGAATCAAGACACAAGACAAATCTAAAGCTAAAATAACCACACAAGACTAAATGAAACGCGTTTGGAATCTCTATTCTCTGCGCCGCAGCAAAATTAAGATAGAAGACATTGTAAGGCTGAATTGAAAATACTGTAACAATATCAAACCCAGTACGCAAATGAACGTGTTTTCTAACGAGTTTATTATAAGAGCCTAAACTAAATATCAAGACAAGACGCACTGAAATGACCCGCAAAAATCTATAAACAACGTGGTTTCGAACGAATTCTATTGCTCAAAGCTGAGTTATTTGACTAGTCAATATGAAAAAGCGACTTGACAACAACCAGCGGCGACGTTTTATATTTATCCTTTGCTTGAAGCTCAAAATAAAACACAATAAATTTTATTAATCATTTCGGAAATGTTTGTGAGATACGTACCTTTTGAGCATGGGACATTAGTTACCAAATCATTATTTCAAGCAGCACTCGTAACAGTTATAAAGTTAGTTACTATAGCTATCTATTTCACTTTCACCCTATAATCAACTCTTTTTGTCCTTTCAATAAACTCGATTTCCATGAAGCCTACATTTAACACAAGCTCTAGCCCTTCCCGACATCTTTCCTCTGGGTTTAACAAAGAACTAAACCAGCAGCTCTTTATTTCTTTCCTTAATTGTGGGTGGGACATTTTTTAACAAATTCCTCCTTCTTCATTAGGTAGCTTTTAATAACGTTGTTTGGCTTCCAAGTCTCTTGTGTATTACCTTTTGTTGTTAA